GTCACTTAAACTCTATTTCCCTCATTTTCTTAACTCTAAAATGGGAAAAATAACACCTACCTCAAAGGCTGGTTGTGAGGATCAAATGAGATAAAACTTATAAAGTGCTTAGCACAGTTCTTGGCACACAGTAGGTGTTATATAAATGTTAGCTACTATTATTAGATCTCATTTTGCCAATTTGTATATATAAGTTTATGTTATTACATAAGAGATATGAACAACCAAAATAAGATTAACCCATATAGTCATTTCTCAGAACAATGGAATAATTTGTTCCCTTTAGTAAGAAATACTCATCTAACCTAGTTTTCAAAGACTCAAGGAAAAAGAACTTTCCTTGTACTATTACTTCTTTTGTAAAGCTATGCCACTGTTATTTTGCTTTCAGTAAAAGCTGAAAAAGCGGAGACCAGAACTTTATTTTTAAATAATTCCAGTAATTTTTGTTCTTTCCTGTGAAGGATCAGTTTTTTCCCTAACAATATCTAAACTTATTTCAATGTAATTTCAATAATGCCAATGGCATTTACAAAATACACTTATCTTAGTCAACACTGGAAAAGGAACTAATGATGTAATTCAATGAGTCAGCAAAATAATCAATTGGATTTTGTAATCTATGAGAAACACCTTTCTGTAAAGTTATTCATAATGGTTCACATGTCATGATGCATACTGCAACCACACTTTGATGAGGATTTTACCAGGAGCAAAAATAAATAAATAAATGTCTTTTCAGGTAAACTGGGCTATAATTCAGTTTGTTTGAAGAACAAAGTGTTAAAGCATCATGTTCATGACATAGTTAAGCTACAGACACCATGTGGTCAAGAAATTCTAAGCTCTGGAGGGCCTAATGAAGTGGCCCCCTGGAGGGGCCTCCAGGTGCTTACAAATTGTATTTGCTAATATAACCACCTTCCCTTCCAACAAATGTGCTTTAAATATTAAGTGCTGTGCAAACAATAATTAAAAAAACCTTTTTGATAGAGGATACTCAAGATAACTTTATGTACCTTTCCAATCCTGGATAGTAATGCTATTTACCTTTCATCACATAATTAGACACTGAAACAAACACAATACAATCAATCATACAGGCAAATAGCTAGTAAAGAGTTTATATCATTATTCTCAAACTAAATTAGGGACTACCACTTAGATTCAGTTTTACCATTAATAATCTTTTTTTCTGATACTCTTAACAAAACCTTTGTTTCTCATCTTCCAATTGTATTCTTTGTCCCTTCTCACACAATAAATTTAAGGTCAAAGTACTAAGAGATTCAACAGATTATTCTAAGTCAATGATCTGTCATTTCAGTCTATGAATATTCACTTCATAGATTTAATTCAAGAACTTATTATTATTGTGTGTTAAGCAAGATCACACCACCTTCAAAATTAATAGGTAATTTTTGAAAATCCCTGTGGCCAAAAAAAAAAAAGCATCACTCTGCTGCCAAACTGGTAATGAGCCTCTGGTGATCAATCTAAACAGGATCAAAATATTTTAAGTGGAACCACATTCATTTTATTATTTCTGTTTTAAACACATCGCAGTGTACTAAATTTAAAGGTTAGCTTAAGTGTACAAGAATTGCATAAGAAAACAAGGTATGGAATTGTGTCTGACATTGCAAGAGGGACTACCCACACTAAGGAGATCCCAGATCCATATTTTTAAAATTTCATTACATTGCTCGCCTGTTCAAAAATTTCAATCAAACAGAAGCTATATATACTATATCAGTGGAAGAACATTTTCTATTACAAATAGAATGTAGGCTTTTTGAGGACAGTGACTGTTTCTCTTTTATTTTATATCCCTAGCATCTAGCAGTGTGCCTATACACAGCTGATATTTAATAAATGCTTGAAAAAATGAACAAACATTGGACTTTGTATCAAAAGACAGGTTCAAGTCCTGACTCCAAAACTTAGGTTGTAGGATTACTAGCTGTGCCTACTATCGTAGGCAAGTCATTTAATTTCACTTTAGTTTGAGCCTTAGCCTTTTAATCTAGAAGGTAGCAAAATTCATTACTTAACTCACCACCTAAGGGCTACCTGCAGAAAACAGGAAGCTACAGTCCTTGCCCCAAAGTTTACATTCTAATTGGGAAAGAAATCCAATCAGTAAAACAAAAATCCTTACAGTGAGGGTGTTAAAAATAAATGCTGAAAGAGTTTAGGAAACGCAGATATAGCCATGGACTAGGACCATTAAGGAAGACTTTCAATGATTTCTCACTGCCTATAGGATAAAATCCTGACATGGCATAACCGTGCCTCACTCAATTTATTCAATCAACTACTCAAAAAAAGAATCATTCCTAATTCAGTCTCCTTATTAAGCACTTTAGGCCCTTGCTTTTGCTACACCTTCCTTTCCTTTTCCCCTCTACCTAATTCAAACCATCCCCTCCTTCAGGGCCATTTAAATCTTATTTCCTCTAATAGCAGGGACTGTACAGAGCTGATACAGAAATATGCTGAACAGTATAATATAGAAATATATATGTATATATATAAAGAGAACTATATGTTGACATATATAATCACAGTATATCTCTATAGATAGAACATATTCTATATATATCTAGTGGTTATATCTACTAGTTACGCATATATACCATATAATGTATATAGATATACATATATCTATATCTAAATAGATATGTAGAAGTCTATATATAGACACATGTATCTACCACATATGGCCCAACCCGGAACGTCACAGGATTTAGTTTGGAATATGACTGTTGATGGTCTGTTTTGTTCAAATATTACTCTAACACTGATAATTATGCAAAATTAACTACTACTGTACAGCGATGTTGTTTCAAGAGCAAGTCATCTTATCAGACATGAAACGAAAAAATTCTTAAGTGACCTGCTGCACAAGAGGGGTTCATATTTAAAAGTTTCCCTTTTAAAAGGGAAAAGGATGAAAACTCTTCCAACCCAATTGATCAAAATCTTCCTTGCAAATTTCAGAACTGAGGGGTTAAATTAATAATTTGCATATAAAGCAGATGACTAATTCTTATTGCTTTTTTCTTTGTACAATTGTCCAGAATTATAGTGAAAAGAGACTGCAACATAAGCAAGAAATAAATTAGTATACCACACGTACGCCCCCTACCACTTTCTCCCCAAAGAGATTTTGTCACTTAGGCTGCCTATATTTGGCAGCCAGTTTGGCACAGGAGCAAGAGAACAGCAGGAACTGCGGCTAAGCAGAGAATTGCTAGCGCCCTCCGCCGACTACAGAAAAAAGCAGACCCAGTGCGCTGCGGGATCAGACTCCATACAAAGAGACCTGGGAAACAGCTGATTGCAAGGCACGTGACTAAACAGAAACCAATCAAAAGACGCCTGAGTAAAGCTTTGAGAACGAGGCTCTGGGACCTCCTACAGCACAACAAATAGAGGCAGGAAACAGCTGAGCTAGGCTAGAGCAACACAGCGCAGACTTAGGAGGGGGAGGGGCCGAGGGGAGAGCCGCAGGGAAAGCTGGGCTAGGTAGGCAACCAAGAACAATCAGAAACACACACACAGATGGGTCCTCTGCTAGCCCCAAGCCGCCCCCAAACCTTCCATTAGGTTAAGAGACCAAATTTACCTTCAACCTTCTTATAGGGACAGCCACAACTGTCCTCATATAGTGTGATAAAGCCCTAGTTACTAAAGAGAAAAATGGTGACCCTTGGGGTCACCCTACGCCGCGACACAGTATCTACCCCAGACGAAGCAGTTTGTTTTTCTTTAAAGGCAAGAGGTTGATAAAACCCTGGGGGCGCATCTCGATAATACGGAAAGTTACAGTTCACAGGAAGGGCAAGGACCTCCAACTTAATTCTTCCCAAGACTCTGAACCCATGGTCCTTTACCTAGAGATGGTCAGCATCTCAAAGTGTCAGTGTTGAAATAGTAGTCTATGATATGGGCTAAGAAAATATAAGAAAACAGACATTAATAAGGCAGTAAAACGAAAAAAGTTGTTGCTGTGTCACGTTGCAGTTTCTACAGTCGTTTTTAAGGGGGAAATGTCTTCTTGTGGGTGGGAGCTTTAGGTGACCTATTCCACTGAAATAAAAACAGACATCTAAGACTTGGGGGTGGGGGTCTGACAGCTGTGAGAACAGTGAAACAATTAGGCCCATTCTTTAAATGGAAGAAGGGAAGGGGAAGAGCTGAGGGGTAGTAGGCGGGGGAGGAAGAGGTTGCTATGGCTGTCACGTCTAGGTCTTGGGGGGGTGGTGTGGGGCTGAAAGGCAGCTGCAGCTATTGTACCTTAAGGAAAGGAGGGGCAGTGCAGAGGCTGCAGAGTAATGGGAGGCTGGCCTGCTGTTGAGCTGAGAGGAGGGTTGAAGCAGGACTGAGTTGGGGGTTCGAGTTCTGTGAAGGAGGAGTTAAAACTATTTTGGAAGCTTGAGCTCTACGTGAGCTGGGGAAGTCCGGGCTGAGTTGTAGATAGGGGGAGGGAGTGCAGGTGAGTTGTGGCTGGGGGAGGGGAAGTCGAGGCCGAGTAATGGTAGGCTGGGAGGGAAAGGGGGTCAGGGGAGTCCAGGCTGAGTTATGGTTGTGTTGGAGGAGGGGGTCTGGTTTGAGTTGTGACTGAGGGTGGGGCGTCCAGGCTAAGCTGTGGCTGGGGGGAGGGGGTGCAGGCTGAGCTACGTCTGGGAGGGGGAGGGGCTCCGGTGGTTGTGCGGGCCTCGCCCGGGCCCGTCTCGTCTCCGTCCCCGCAGTACTCAGCCTGCCGCCGCCCCCGCCTCCTCAGCGGGCCTAGAATGCTTTCTTCCCCGGCTGCTCCTGCGGCAGCGGCCCCGGAGCCCGTAGGGAGGGGTAAAGGACGGCGGACGACGGCGGCCGCGCAGACCCCGGGAGGCAGTTCCTCCGGTTCGATCCCTGGCCCGGAGCCCTTCCACACCGCCAGGCCCAGCGAGTTCCCCCAACCCTCGGCTCCAGCCCGGCCACAGACCCGGACTTACCTCGAGCGGCCTGGCCGTAAGGTCAGTCCGCGGCGGCGGCGGAGGCGGCTGTTGCTTCCTCAGCTGAGGTAAAGCGCCTTGGCCGCTCCTGTCTCTCGGTCTCAGTCGGGCCCCAGCCTTGGCCCCGCCTCCCTGTGGCCCAGCCTTGGGCGTCAATCACGCAACTTGGCCCCGCCCCTCACCCTTCTGATCCATGGGTTGGCCCAGGCCGCCTACCCCCATGGGCCCCGCCCCTCTTCCGGGGCCCCGCCCCTTCCCTAACTACCCTCCCCCCTACACTCCCCACCCCCCACCCCCCTGCAGTGAGGCCCACCCCTCCTCTAGCTGTCCCTGGGCGAGCCAGTTCCTCGAGATTTGGCCCGCCCCTGACCCCTTCTCCCCTATCATCCTAACCAATCCCGACGACCGGCTCCTCCCCTTCCTCCCGGACAGCCTATGTGGCTCTCTTCAGGAACCACCCACCTCCCAGCTGAGCGCACACAACACAGCAGCCACGTGAATCAGTTTCTTAAAGAGGAAGGTTCCTGTCTGTCTTGAGCAAGTAGGACTTTAGTAGCTGTTAACATTGCTGCAGCTCCTTAGGTCAGGGCCAAGGCCTAGAGATTAAGATGGATGAGCACGGAGGAGGTTCGGAGAGGGGGAATCTTTTATTGGTGTTAGAGGTAGAAGAAATTGAAGTTACTATAGTGACTAAAAAGCATAACAAACAGGGGATGCAATTTATCTGAGGTCATCTTTTTGACTGAAGTTGAGAAAACTTACTGGCTGACTTTTGCCTTTGTCACGTGGCTTAATTTATTTGAGACTCCGAATCCGGATAATTGCAGGTCAGGTTCGTCCCTCTGCAAAAGTATAAAACAAACAAATCACCCACACCCACGATGTGTCCTGGGGAGAGAGCGACCCTGGCGTCTGAGCCATCAGTGCTATCAGGTGTAAACTGGAATGACAATATGTGCATGGGCGTCTTCGGCGAGGCTCCTCACCGGGGGCCTCCGTGTCGTTATTAATATTGTTTATTTTGTATTATTGTTAACATCTCATCTTTCTGTTTCCTTAATTAGGACTAGATGATCTCCTAGCCAGTCATGTAGCTCTAAATCTTATGAATTCGTCGCCAGCTTTAATAACCAACACTCCCAAAAGGTTCTCGGTGCCCACACTGCATTTTACATCCAGAGTAGAAGCTATTCCACATTTTTTTTTTTTTGCTTCCCATATAAAAATTTACTCAGCTGCTTAGTTCAGTATTTAGCACATAGTAGATGTTCAATAAATGTTTGTTGAATTTAATTGAATACTATCCAGTGTCCAACTTTGATCCTATGCAATAAATATTTCCTCAGGACTTCCCTAGGGACTTAATTTGCTAATCTGTGACAAATTATTTAGGATGAAGGTTTATTTTACCTCTTTCAGAAGAGAGTTGCATCTTCAAAAGAAATGTCCTGGAGCAGGGAGGGATTGATAGCCTTTTTTGTGTTATAGACCCCTTTGGCCCATGCACCCCATCACAGAATAATGCTTTTAAATAAATCAAGGAAATACGAAATTTCAGTTAAAAGTCAATGAAAATAAAGATGTCATTTTCCCCTTATTCAAGTTCACAGACTCCCTGAAGTCTAAGGATCCCTTGATCCTTAGGCGTAAGGAGCCCTTACGCCTTAACCAAAAGTATGCTCTTATCAAACAACAAGAATTATTCAAGTGCCTATTATGAAAAGAGCCTTAAAGAGATAGCACTTTACATGTAAGACATTTTGCAAACCTATATAAATGTGTGCTAGTACCATTATTAATCTTGAAGATTTTAATCACACACTATTTAAATGCACATTACATTCATTTCAATAAAAATGTTAAATATTAATTCTTTAATTCCTGCCTTCAAGGAGTTTTAAAATCCACTGAGGTTACAGCATGGGCACTGTACTAATTTCTGCCAGAAAACCAACTTGTTAATTTACAGATCAGGATATTCATTCAATAGAATTTATTAGCATGTTGATAACACTGTGCTAGGTACTGTAGAAAGTTAAAAAAAAATGTGAAACACAGTTCCTGCCCTCAGGAGCTTAGCCCCCAATTGGGTAAACAAGTCAGTCAGACTTAATTTATAGACATGAAAATTTAAACAGTATGAATTAAATAACAGAACAAGGAAAGAATAAGAGATGTAAAAAGAGTGTTGATAAACTGAGTTTTATAAGACAATAAATATGATGAATTCAAAAGAGAGATATCACTTTGGGTTGGTATGATTAGGGAAGGCCTATGACCAATGTAGTGCTTGAGCCAAACTTTTAAGGAAGTCTAGAATTTGAATAGGAGACAGGAAGAAACAGATTTATTACAAATGAAAAACAATTTGACAAGAGGGGCCCTTTGTCCAAGTCCTGACCCTACCATTTACTAACTGTGTGACTTTGAACAAGTCATTTATGTTCTGGTCCTTAATTTCATCAATTTAAACTAACTCTCCAAGGTCCCTTTAATTTCATCAATTTAAACTAACTCTCTAAGGTCCTCTGATTCTTTGAACTACTTTACATATACATATTTTCCAGTCAAAATAGATTTCTTTTCCCAAACATACTCCATGTTCTGTTGCCCACTTTGCTTATGTTTCTCCCTCTTCCGGAAATAATGACCATTTCTGCCTATTGAAATTTATGTATCCCTTTCACTCAAATTCAACTCAAATGCCACATTTTATAAAACTATCTGATTCTTCCCTTGCCCCAAAGTGGTAGAATATTTTTTTGAACATCTATAGCATTTTCTTTATGCCTCTCAGGGTGCTTATCACACTCTGCTTTCTTAATAGTCATTTTATATTCTTCTATACTCAAATGGCAAGTGCATTGAGGGTAGGGTCAGTACCACACCTTGGGAATAGTAGGGGTTCACTAAACATTTGTTAAAAGAAAGGGCTTCATTCCCAGTTTCTCTACTGAGACCACTTAGCTCTGACCAATTGGATTAGCTCCATCCTAAGCCCCAAGACTAGTCCAGCCTGTGGACTGAGGAATACACAAGTACATCAGAATAAAAGAAACCACAAATAAAGGACAAAAATCATTTTAGAATAAAAATCCTCAACTAATTGTATGGATTTAAATATATTTAGGTGATCAAAAGTAGAGTTGGAAGGGGCCCTAGGAAATAGTTAATGAAGTCCTTTCATTTCAAATTTGAGGGAATTGAAGCCCAAAGATATAAAGATATAGATAGATAACATATGTGATATGTAACTTGCCCAAGGTCACAGAGCTTGGACAAAGAAGGACACAGACCTGAGTATCCTGTCTCCTACTCTTTTTGCTATCCCATAGCTGCCTCATTACTGTTAAAAAAAAAAAAAATCAGTCCTTCTAGAAAGCAGCATACAATAATAGAATGTTACAAAGAAAATCTATTTCCTTAAGAAACTTTGTCTAGGTGAGTAACTATGTGACACAGTCTCCTATAGGAAATGGAAAAATAATTAGAGAAGAATTCTCAAACATACTGATTCCTGTAACATTAACCCTAACCCTACACAAAAACTTAGATGTTTTTAATCAGTCTTTTCAGTTTATGAGTTTGTTAAAAATCAGACTCATCTTTCCCACTATTTGCTTCTTCACTGTTTCTGTGTGTGTCACTACCATATAATTCATCTTTAAAATCTTGTGGTTACCTTTAATTCTTCCCTCTCTGTCATTTCATTCATATTGAGTCTGTTATTAAATTCTCTTACTTTCAACTCTCTATTCCTGTAGCTTCTATTTTGTGTAAAGCTTCTATTTGGTTGAGAGGTGAGCAATGGCATAGTACAGAAAATGTGCTACTTTCACCAAAGATTTGACAACCATTCACATACACACACACATATACACACACACGTCTTTCAGAAATCTATAATTTCACTGGTGTAAATACTGCAGATCACAACTTACTTGGGAGATGATCTTCCAGATTTGTTTTGGCTGAAAAATCCACCCTGTGTAGCCAGTGGGTAATGAGCTTGGTGATGCCGGTCCTCAGATGATAGAGGCACAACCCACCACTGGTCCCATATTCAAGGTCTTTCAGTCTTGGTAACATCTGACACAGAGTCTGCCCCCTTGGCTCAAAAGTCCAGGATGCTCTTCATTGAAAAAGTTGTTTGTAGCTCTTTTCTCACTCCACAAAGCATTTGTGTTGCTTAGCTCTTCTCCAGGACTGGTAGTCTGCTAAGTACTTGGCAGACAGAATTTACACCTTACATCTATTTCAGATAATTACTGGGAAAGGGGCTAACAAAATGGGTTTCAGCTGAACTGTACCATCTTTGTTCTAGATTTATCCTCAAATGTCAAGTGGAGACTCTGTGACAGTCTTCCACAGATGTTGCATTTTAGCCTGGATGTGACTCTGGATGTCTCATGGGTCATTTCAGCCAAGGTCTCTGAGTGGGAACAACTGCTGCTTTTTTGCAAGATATAGAATAAAAAGCAAGAGGTTTGCATGAATCAATCACAGCTACCCAGCTACCAACTGGGTACCAGCACTGATGTGCTCATCAGTGTCCTAAATAGCCTATGTTCAAAGCCCACTGATGTCTCAATCCTCTCAATGCCTAAATTCCCCAAGCCTACCAATCACATTGATGGGCCTCTGGCCAGAAACATCCTGTTGGACATCCTGTCAGTGTTGCCCTCTTATATAAAAAACTCCATCTTAAAAAGAAGTACACAGCTTAGCTGTAATGCAATATCCACTGCTAATTCGAGGGTCTAGGCTAAGGGTATCCCCAAGGATACTGTGCTGGAGAGATTTTTTGTACTTTTGTCCTTCTGTGATCCCCATCTTCCCTCTGCTCAGTGAGTATATCAGCCTTCATCAAAACACATATAAATACTATATATATGTTCTAGAGCTGTCTCAGAATGTATAGGTGTGATTTGTCTTAGCAACCTAAGGAAATGAGCAGTCATGTACTTGGCTTTGGAGCCTGAGAAGAAAACATATCCCAGACAGTATAGGCAAACTGGCAAAGAAGAAGGAAAGAAGGAAGGGAAAGTTCCATACCCAAAGAACATGAACCTTTAACATGCCAACATTACTCCAATAACATGAAACATCAGACCAAC